TTGCTTCCTGCCAATTATCTCGAGTTTTGTCCAATTTAACGTTTTCTATCTTAATATTATCAAATTCGATCGCTATCCTTTTTCCGATACTTGTTCTCACTAAATCAATTGCTTTTCCACCGAAATTAGAGCTCTGTGAATACACCTGAAATTCTGGTTCAATGTCTGCGTGGAGAGTGAGAATTAAAGTATCCATAAAGACTTGTTTCAATGCCTCTTCGTTTGAATGTTTAACACTGTTATCCTTCAATGGCTTAAGTAAAGTTCCCTCTATAAATCGACAAAGAGGTTCAATGTTATGCTCTGACTCCAAAATCTGCAAACATTTCCGTACAGGGATTAAATCCTCTTCCTTCCAGTCATAAATCTTAAGTGCCTCTGCAATAAATTCTTTTTTAGCAATACGATTCGGGATTCGAAAACTATGCTGTAATGATGTGGGTGATGGGTTTGGTTGATATGTGATGGCTCCAGTATAGAACATGAATGATAATAACGGGGTACGATCAGTTGCTAGTTCGCGAATATTGGTGAGTCGAAATCGTTGTTCTATGCCTTTTCTAGATTCGAGAGGGCGTTGATTAAGTGCCTCGGTAAGGATGGATTTTCCAAGGGGATTGTTAACAATTAAGTCCAATGTTGTTTGAGAGGGCAATGTTTGCGGGTCGGGGGGGGGGAAATTAAAAAGTGTATTAAGGACGACTGAAGGATCCCAACTATCGTCCAATTTTTCCTTTTTTTCCATAAGCCTCCTGACACAGTACAGGACACGTGCAGTGTTGAAGATACCTTCAGGTTGATTAGGGTTAAAAAAATACCCGTCATTTTCCTCCTTTAACCATGTCATTAATCCTTCTTTAATATTAGTCAACAAACTATTTCCAAAAGCTTTATCCAAGAGAGGCTCAATTTCCGATCTCTTAAACCCATATAAGTCCCAGAATTTTTCGTTTAGCGCCAAATCTTCCGAAATGTTAAACCCCGAGGTGAATTCGGCCATAACGACGGGAGTCACACCAGTTTGGAAAACATAAGCTATGCCTCTATCACAAGCATACTTCAAACGACTGTAGAATTGTTTGAACGAACTTTCAATTTTTTCGAGTTTACTTTGAACTGAGGAATTATGATGAGCAATAAGAGGTTGTAAGAGTGTTTCATTTTTAAGGGCCTCGTTCATACCAGCATCGTATTCATCGATGCAAACATAGAGCTAAGAACATTGGTTTAGTACTTTTTAGATAGAGATGA